CAAGGCCCCTGCCAAGGTCTTCCTCCTTTCCATTTTAACCTCACAGCAACCAACCTGTGAGGTAGGTCAGGCTGGGAGTGAGTGACTGGCCCAAAGGCACCTCAGGCGCTTCATGGCTGAGTGGGGACTAGAACCGCATCTCCCAGGTTTCCAGTCCAACACTCAAACCAGCACACCACTTTCTCATTTTTTGTTTTTTACAGAAGGCTTATACTGATGCGATATATACATTTTAGTTGTCTCTATTTGCAGTTTTCTCATCAAATATTGATTTTGTCTGTTATATATGGATTTTTTAAAATGTTCTGGTGTTTGATGGGAACATTTTAATGTAAAAGTGAAAATCCAGCTTAGTCAATCATTCCTCCTTTCTTTCTGTGACCTGTGCATCTGATAACCAGACAGTACAGTATTTCCATAACAGAATATGTGGCACCTTTATTCAAAGAGCGGAACCATAACGAAGGCTGAGAGTCAAAAAATTGATGCTTTTGAACTGTGGTGTTGGAGAAGACTCCTGAGAGTCCCTTGGACTGCAAAGAGATCAGATCAGTCAATCCTAAAGGAAATCAACCCTGGCTGCTCTTTAGAAGGGCAAGTACTAAAGCTGAAGCTCAAATACTTTGGCCACCCAATGAGAAGGAAGGAATCATTAGAAAAGACGCTGATGCTGGGAACGGTTGAAGGCAAAAGGAGAAGGGGACGGCAGAGGTTGAGGTGGGTGGATGGGGTCACTGGAGAAGTGGCTGCGGGCTTGGGTGTTCTCCACCATCTCTGGGAGATGGTGGAGAACAGGGAAACTTGGAGGAATGTTGTCCATGGGATTGGAAAGACTTCGGCACAACTTTGCGACTGAACAACAATATCAAAGAAGACATGGTCAATATTCACATGTAACTATAAACTAGGAATCCTGGCTTATTAAACCACAATGTGAACAAGCTATGTTTCTGCATGCATCCCATTCATTCCTACCTCTCTTCTCCCTTTGCCTGAGTATTATGAGTACTCAGGGTCTTGCATTCCTACTTTATTTGGCCCTCTTGTGACTTCTGCATAAGTACTGTTTCTGTTTGGGTCTCCAAACTGCAAACTGATGTACACATGCATTAGAATTCTGCAATGTAACATTTCCTGGAAAACACTACTTCAGGTTACAGATGGGGGCCTGCTGTCAAGCAGGAACAACAACAGTACATTTTAAACCTAAAAATTGGCTATCTGCAATAGCATGCTAAAAAGTGATCTGTGGCCCCTGATGCTGGCCATATCAGGACAGATGACCTGACTGAAGGAAGTTCGGATAATGTTTCTTTTCTTTTAAACTGGACTTGGACTGATCAGCCTTTCAAAAAGAGGATGCTTTCAAAACAGAGAACTGTTTTCCAGCAGTCCTTCAAATAGAAGAGTGTCCTCTGTAAAGTTGGCATATTGGCCATTCTGCCTCTTTATTTCCTTCCCCACTTGAAATGGCTTGGCAATTTTCAATTACTTGTGTTATTCCTGAGGCAAAGTTTCGGCTGATAGCTGTTTTGTTTAACGAGTTGCTATTGTAGTTATTTTCATTGTCATAGCTTTATTGCTATTGTAGAATTGATCTTCATTTTCCTATTTTTTGGCAACAAGAGAATTTTTTGCAAAAGAATGGCAAGATACAACATACCAACATAAATCTATCATAGTGCTTTGCTGACACTGCAAGTATTGATTTCCACACAGGGAATTGTGGTATAAACATGGGCTTTAAGAAGGAATTGGATAAATTCTGTATGTGGAGTTGCCTTAAGGCAGATAGAAATGAGTTACTTTCTTTCACTGAAACTCTGTAAAAGTTGCTCAAACAAGTATTGCTCAGACTCTATTATAGGATAACATTCTTAAGTAGGAAGACTGACTTCATCAACCTTTCCCAGCCTGGTGCCTGCCAGTTGTTTTGGACTCACATTCACATCAGCCCCAGCCATTCACTGTCAATGTTGGGAACTGTATTTTACAGCATCTGGAGGGTACCTGGTTGGGGAAGGCTAGATCTGATTGTATGAAAGTCATTATTTTTCGGTATTAGAGTGGATACTGCATGGCCCTTTGCCAATGATAGTTCCACATTGGATGCCTTCTTCAGGTATGGAATTGTACATGATGGCCCATAAGGACTTTCACAACTCCAGATCACTTATATTAGGAATGTCAGTGCTAGGATTGTGCATACTTTCAGATTTCAAAAAGGTCTAATTCAGGAAGAAAACAGTTATAATTTCTCATCTTTCCAAAAGGAGTGTTCCAATATGGCTATTACAGTAGGCCATTTCTGATGTAACATTTTGCACTCACAAATACTAATTCAAAGGCATTGTGCAAATGCCAGGGCACTGGCATTTTACATGATCATTCATTACTCATGTAAACCTTCTGATGAAAGTTTATTCATGAGTAGGGTGCAAGAGAAATTGTCAAGAACAAATCCTGCCTGTCTAACCTGATTTCATTTTTGGATAGGTAACCTCCCTGTCCACCTATGGGAATGATGTGGATATCATGTATCTTGACTTCAGCAAAGCTTTTGACAGTGTCCCATGATATCCTGATTAGCAAGCTAACTAAAAGTGGGCTAGATGGAACAATTATCAGGTGGATCTACAGTCAGCTACAAAAACAGGCACAAAGAATGCTTAGCAATGGCATCTTCTCAGACTGAGAAGAGGTCTAGTGCTCTTCAACATTTTCATTAATGATTTGGATGAGGAAGTTCAGAGAAAATTTATCAAACATGCAGGTGGCACAAAATTGGGCAGGACAGTTAATATCCTGGGAGACAGAAATAAAATTCAAAGTGATCTTGATAGCTTGGATCACTGGACTGGACTGAAAACAACAGACTGAAATTTAATACAGACAAATTTTCTATACCTAGCGAAAAGAAACTAAATGCATTGTCTCGAGTTGGGGGATACTTGGCTCAGCAATACTGCAAGTGAGAGGGATCTTGCTATTGTTCTAGATCCCAAGCTGAATATGTCTCAGTGTGATGTAGCTGCAAAAAGGGTGAATGCTGATTTGGGCTACATTAATAGAAGTATCCCATCCAAATCATGTGAAGTATTAGTCTCCCTCTACTCAACACTGCTTAGGCTTCATTTGAAGTATTGCATCTAGTTCTTGGTGCCACAGTTTAAGAAAGATGCAGACAAATTTTGAGGAGGACAAAAAGATGACCAGGAGAATGGGAAAAAAATCCAGGAACTCTTCACAATCATCTCAGAGTGTAGGCCATGGGATAAAAGGCTCAAGTTGCAGGAAGTCAGATTCCAGCTGAGCATCAGGAAAAACTTCCTGACTGTTAGAGCAGTATGACAATGGGACCAATTACTTAAGGAGGTCATGGACAATCCCACAGTGGAGGCATTCAGGATGCAATTAGATAGCCATCTGTTAGGGATATTTCAACTTGGAGCAGGGAGTTGGTCCTGATGGCTTTATGGGTCTCTTCCAACTTTTCTATGAATCTGTTCTATGACTCTAGGACCCTTTTCATGCAGTCATCTCATGCTTTGGTCCTCATGTAGCATTTTCACAAGGAGGAACAAACACAGTTTTTCAACAAAAGCAATGAGTATGGAAGGCCTCATCCATGTGTTCTCTTTCTCTCTCCTCTCCTTCCTCCAATGGTGCCATCAGAGCAGAACTCTGGGACAAAAATTCAGGCTACTTGGTAACAAAGCCATTTTACTTGGCCACCCCAAATTGTTACAGCATCTAAAAACAAGCTAACCTACATTGGGAATTCCAATTTCCTGTCTTTCCTTAGCTAAAAATAACCGGGCATTCATTGGACAATTGCGAAGATATAAATGATAGCTGAAGCTTTCCTGCCAAGCTCATATGACCTTTGGTTATTGTTAATTGAAGTGTCGCACACTGGTTGCCTGATGTGCCAGCCAGGCTAGGATGCTTTCTAGCAGAATGGTAGCTACAACGGAACATACCTATTTGACAGCCAAGAAGCCCACAGGACTCAGAGACAGGATACCTGATAATGAAATCCTATACATGTTTACTCAAAAGTAAATGCTGGCATGTCCACTGGAAACAGAAGCCACGGTGTGCACCTTTTAGGACTTTCCCAAAGTTTATATTCTTACTGCTTGATTTACAAGCATAATAGAGGTGGCAAGCTTATTCTGCAACTGTGCAGACTGCATTTCAGCAGCTGGCTCTCCTGCAGCTAAGGCCCTGCCAGAAAAGCATAGCTGGAGCATGCTAGGAGCTCAGAACCATAGCACAGAACGGCAGAAACAAACAGTTACTGGAAAACAGCCTAGTTAAAGCAAGCAAACAGTGAACTGCCATCTCGTTTTTCACCTAGCACAGGGCCCAACTAGACTGGAAAAGACACATTAACCCAGCTGGGTCATTGTTTCTGATAGCTTCAGGTTTTCCAGATCACTCTCTCCCTCTTCGATCCGTGTCATAACAATCCAAACCCACATGATGACTGGGTTCAGACCAGTGTGAACTGTCATCAAACCATGGGTTGCTGAAATGTGACTTATGTTGCCTGGACCCAGGTATGAAAATAAGCCATAGTGAACAAACCACTACCAATGAACCAAATCATGGATTCCCTTTGAAGGTTGTTCATGATTAACAAACTATGGCTTGTTAGAGCAGCTGGGTTCAGGCAACACAATAACCTACATTCAAAAACAACCAGCAGTGCAGCAACAAACTGTTCTCAACCCTAACCCAAATCCCTCCCAACATTTGTGTTCTCTCTTGCTAGCATCACTTATAGTTGTTTGAATCCCTGACTGTGTTTTCCACCTCTGAAAATACATTTCCCCAGCCATTTTTCTCTAGGTAGTGTTAGTTCCAATACTGGTGCCCCACTGGGATATAAATAATTGGAAAGCAGTGATTTCAGAAGAAAAACATGTTCAATGTCTCACTGTAGATGGCAGTCAATAACTGAGAATCAAGTTGAAGGAGCTCCCATTTCCTACCTGGCTGATAGAAGTCTGGGGATAATTCCCTGGCCATCGTCCTGGCTAAAGTGGATTCGTTGTTAGCTGCCAGTGCCGCTTGCTCAGCACCTTCTGACTTGGCTTTGGCATGGGCAGTCCTGTGAAGAGAAGACCATCATGGCATTTAGTTTCTTCAGACTTCTTTAGTTGCATACCTGAGCTAAGTATTTCAAAGCAGCCCTCCATAATTCAGGAGGATTCATTTCTGGTTTCACGGGCACAGTCCTGCTCCTGTATGATGGTCACAGAGCAAAATGTATTTTCGTGATATCTATAATACTTTTTATTATATTTTGAATAACGTATTTTGAAAACAACTGGCAAGTGGATCCCTAAAAGCTCGAGACATATTGAGCTGAGGCTAAGGATAAAATGGCAAGGTGATCCGCCCAATTCCATGTGCAGAAACTGACCAAACTTGACTCTTACTTCAAAACTGACAACGAGGCAGTGTTCACCATCACTGTTGAGGGCAGACGGTAGCCCAGGAGGTACAAGACAGGGTCAGTGGCACACATAGTTCTGCCCTCTAACGCCTCACCCTGGATCTCTTTGCCCCTCGGCACCTGCTGCCTAAGGCAGCTGCCTCACTCTACTGAACGGTAGGGTGAGCCCATGCTGGCATGACACCTAAAGCATGTTTGTGGTGGTATTGTCTGAAAATCCACCACTTTCCTATAGTCCTTTGCTTATGAAGGATACAGGTACCTTCCATTCAGATTAAGCATTCATCACAGAGAGCAAGCTAGCTTTACCACTGCTAAGACCAAAAATGGAAAAATTAAGTTTTTCACTGTGTCGCATGCGGTTAAGAAATTTAAGGTGCTTCCCCTATTTCTGGGTAGTCACTCAGTGATGGGTATCCACTGAACATATCCTTTCTGCAGAATAAATGTGCCTTTGTTTCCTTAAGGTGGCAGTTTCTCAGGGATCTCACATTTCCTCAAGGACAAATCACATTTTCCTAGTGATAACATACCATAGTCCAAATCAGGAGGAAATGCATTATCTTGACAATGCACATGCTAGCCGGAAAGAAAGTGCTCAAATGCAGGTCACAGAAGAGCTGTGCTTTATAGTGTTATAAGCAAGCAGGCTTCTGTTGACGGGAGCTGTAAAAGAGGCCAGATCAACACTCCTAAAAGATGCCAAAGGCCTTTGTCCCATAATGTGGCAGCAAATTCTGTAAGCTAATTCCAGGCTGTGCAAAGAAGCAAACCCTTTGCCTGCATCCCAATGAAACATTTTTAAAAACTCATATTAGTCACCTAGTGCATACAGAGCCCACTCCGGCCCCAGTAATGCTATTTAGATAAGTAGGAGGACATTCTGTTTCTTGGTGCATGGATCCCACTGTATGCCGCTTTCCTTTGTATTGAAAGCACGGACTTTCTATTAACCCATTGGGAGATATCTGTCCCTTTTGAGGGCAGTCCAGTGTGGGAATGTTCTCATCCTTTAAAAGGCATTCCAGCTCCTCAATCATCTGGAGACGCTTGGCTCCGAGGAGGTAGAAATCTGTAATTTTAAGCCCTGACAGCTCACAGAAGGCCCCAAGAAACTGTAAACAGACAGAGCAATTCCTTTTTTGGTAGCGTATAATCAGTGTGATTAATTCCACTGTAATCTGTGGGAGGCCTGGTGGCATATTTATGTCTTTTATGTGCCTGGAGAACTGGTGTTGGATTCTAAGTGGCCACGCTATGTAGGCCAAGGTGGATACCCCCCACCCCCACCTCAGAACCTTATGAAAGCTTTAACTCTTCAAAGAATACAATTTGGAAAGAGGTGCAGCAGGACAAACCTAATCAGAGTTTTCACGGACTGCACCAGGAGCAATCGCGACAAAGATGTAAGCAGGATTGCGTTGCCAAAGACAGCAGCAGCTAAGTAATGGATGGGCTCACACAATCATTTTCAGCCACAGGGACTTAAATAAGCCACTGTGGTTTGTGGCATGTGTGGGTGCCCATTCTGTGACCCAACCCTGCTTGTAGGTTGTCATGTCACTGAAACCCGGTAAGGTTTGCTAAGCATGCCAACAAGCTACTGTCACTGGATTCAGATGACACAAAGCCTACAAGTGAGGGCTGGGTTATGGAACAGGTGCCCAGGATGTGTCACAAGCCCCAATTGTGGCTGAAAATGATTGTGTGAACCTGGTTACTGACTGATGCCAAATGTCATACGAGGCATCTTATAACATGTAACCAGACCTAAATTATAGGAGGCAGGAATAACATGTGCATTTGTTTCCTTGCTGGAGGGCTTGTGACATGCCTGCTTGCCTAGGTTAAGATGGTTATTAGGAAGACAGGAATCTGCCCCATACTGGGCCACACCAGGGGTTCACCCATCTCACATTTTCTGCACCAGCCTTCCTCAACCCAGCATCCTTCCGAGGTGTTGGACAAGAGCTATTATCAGTCCCAGGCGGTTCTGCTGGCTGAGGGTGATGGGAATTTTAGTCCCATACATCAGGTTGGACTTTCGTGACCAGCAACAGGTCTCAAGGGTCTGTTCCAATGCAAGTCCACTAAAACAGTAAGTCCCATTAAGAACAAGAACCATAAAAGTTTTAAAACATTAAAGGCCTTTCACTCGTGCCCTACAATTGGGCCTCAGTGGTTTTCTGCAAAAGGGCCTCTCTGGAAGATCTTAATGCTCAGGTCAGTTTATAATGAGACAAGATACATAATTCAATCATATAGATAGATAGTAACAGTGTCACATTTGCAATGATCTGATTGGATTTAAAGGTAAAGGTAAAGGTTTCCCCTTGACATTAAGTCCAGTCATGCCTGACTGTAGGGGGCGGTGCTCATCTCCGTTTCCTAGCCAAGGGAGCCAGCGTTTGTCCACAGACGGTCTCCGTGGTCGTGTGGCCAGCATGACTAAACACCGAGGTGCACGGAACGCTGTTACCTGCCCACCGAAGTGGTACCTGTTTATCTACTCGCATTTGCATGCTTTCAAACTGCAAGGTTGGCAGCAGCTGGGACAGAGTACGGGAACTCACCCCATTGTGCAGATTCAAACCGGTGACCTTTTGATCAACCAGCCCAGCAGCACAGTGGTTTAAACCACTGCGCCACCTGCATTGATTGGATTTACAATGACTTAAAATATATGTGCATATTGAGCTGGTATGGAGGAATAGTGGATGGACAAGCCTGGATGGAAGTGGACAGGGCTGCACTTTGCCTGGAAGACCAGCTTCACAGCTTGGGGGGTCTTCCTGGACTTGGCACTATCTGTAGAGCAGCTTTCCTCAAGTCGGTGCCCTCCAGATAGTTTAGACTTTAACTTCCGTCAGCTCCAGCTAGCATGGCCAACAGCCAGGCAACGTAGAAGCTGCGGTCTGTATCACCTGAGGGCACCAGCTTGGGGAAGGCTGCTGTGGAAGCCCAGACTACTTAGGAGTGCCTTTATGCAGTGCAGACTAGTGTGCCAGCAGCAATCCTTTCTAATTTTGTGTGCGTGTGTGTTTTATTTCGATCTGCTCTTGGGTAAAGAGGACAAGCTGGATTTAAAATTAGTACTACTAGTTGTTGCATTTTACATCTAAATGTAATACTGTCGGCTTTATGTCTGTTTGTTGTCCTGATGTATTTTACCTTGTTCTCTAGCTTAATATAGCCTAGATTTTGAAGTTATCTTGACCCTGTTTTATATTGTAACTGACCTTCTTAATCCCATGTATTTTGAAAACCAGCATAGACTGCTCCAAAATAATTTAAAAAATAAAACAAAAGTCACTTTGGTGAGTCATCTGTCCTGCCCCCACCTCACCCCCTTCTCATGCTGCATCTTGAAGTAGCTTTGTGTGGCATGGTGCTTAGACATCGGCCTGTTCCTTGGGAGATCCTCGGCCATGAAGCTCATGCACAGGCTCTCACCCTAACCCATGATGCAGGCTTTTTGTGGGATCAAATGGAAAGGAGGAGGGTTGTGCAAGCTGGCTTCTTTGCAGCTATACTACAATCAATCAATAAATAAAATCCGAGGAAAATGAACCTGTGATCGTCAATGCTACAAAATAAGGACCTGAAAATCATGGAACTGGCTCATGCTTACATTGCATTTGCATATGGAATAAGTCCAGGAACCATTCTGCATGTGGCTATTGTAAGACTACACCCATCCCTATTGAATGTTGATAGGTCGTGATTTACGGTGGTAATTAACGCAAGGAAAAAGCAAACTATTCTGTATTCTTTCTCCAGTAATCTTCACAAGTGGCAACATTCCAGCAAAGCATACTGTAACTAGATTATTAACTTTAAAGAGCATGTACTTTTCAAGAAAATGAAGGTTGTGATACGGCAGAAATACCACCCTTCCTTTCATTTGAGATCCCTCATACAGAAGATATATAACTCAGCTTAACTTCTGGAAGTTCAAACTTCAGCCATTGATAATGATAAGCTCAGCCATCCTTGGTCCAGAAGAAGGACAGCAAAGGCACAGCTTGGCAACAACATCAGACAATTCCACATTATGCTAATCTGCAGGCATCTGCATATGGCAATGGTCTTTCCCCAAAGATGGCTATATATAATACTCATCAGCTGCTGGCCCATGATTACGTCAGTTCACCTTAAGCGGGCCTTCCTTTTAAGCACATGCCTGCGCATGAACACATGTCCCTGACAAAGCCATAAAAGACGGACGGTTGACCACAGTAAGTCTTCCCAATATAAACAAGGCTGACCAAGAGACTGAGTGCGTACAAAGAGCTCCAGGAGAGAGATAGCAATCAAAAAGGTGTATTAGAAATTAGAGAGGTAAATTTAAATTTGTATTTGTTTATGACAAGAGTGAGAAACCTTGTACGTTTGAGTATGAATATTCATGCACATTACCTGTTGGTAAACTCAAAATAAATGACAGTGTTAGAAGAATGTCTTCTTTCAATGTTTCTTTTGACACTGACATTTCTGCTTTAGGTAAGGATGCTATTTCAGCAATATTGATTTTCAGGTGGTTTTAGTATTTTTGCAGTGCTATTGTCTTAGTTATATTTAAACCCCACCTTTTCCCCTTTCAGAGCACTCCAAGCAGCTTACATAATCCCTCCTCCTATTCTCCATATTAT